GCAATTTTTTTCTTTTGGAGAAAGGGAAGGCGAGAAAAGGGAGGAGAGAGGAGGAGGAAGGGGAAGGCGAAGCAAATTTTTTTGTAGTTGACAGAAAAAAGTTATCACCACATTCACGGCTTAGTATTCTGGGGACCCATGTGCATTGCTTTGACCGAAAACAGTGGAAACTAAACCATTCATCCAATCCTTACGTCGATACTCTGGTCAGCTGCATTTTAAGCTCGATTCTCTAGTCGTGCAACTAACAAAATTATTTGTTTTGACCAATGCTGAATTGTCTACTGAAGGCACCGACACTGTTGTTTCCTGGGCGCCTCATTGTTCAGGGAGGGAAGTATTTGATGGGAGTTTAGCCATGTCGAGATTTTTCCTCGTGGTTTAACTTTTCCGATTAACAAATTACTTATTTTTCAAGTTGACAAGTTTGACTTCTTCAACTTTGATAAACTACTTATTTTTTTATTATCAGTTTCTTCGTTATGCATAAAAATTCTGCTGCTTCCAGCTTGGCTTTTTTTTTGCTTTGATAAGAAAGCGTAAAAAAGCAAAATTCGAAAAGAGAAACTGCTGTGTTTGATTTAGAACAGCAGCAGTGCTTCACGGTGAGCAGAAGCGTAAATTAGAACTCCAGGGCATAATCGGTGGTGCATTTCGACCGCACATTCGTACTATGAAAGGTCGCGAAGTGGCACCGACATTTTTAGCGTCCTATGCAAGGGAGCTGGTAATTTTTCGCCGGAAAAGCAAATTTTGTTTTGTCTTTTAAAGAAATCATAGGGAAGGGACGCCGGAAATCAAAGTGAGGATGAGGTAGAGAAAGGGACAAAAAAAGCAAACACTACTTTTGATTGACAGTAATCGTGCAAGTTATAACCGTTTGAATTGTCGAGTTGGAGTTTTTCCAAGACTCAGTTACATATCCAACGCAGTTTCAGTAGTCGCTGCCTTTGCTGGGTCTTTTGATTATGTTTCTATCCCTTTTCCCCCATTCCCTTTCCGTTCCGCCAGCATTGTGTCTTGCCTCTTTCTTCAAGTTACTATCGGACCCTAAAGGTTGCCTTGCTAAACCAGTGGCGTGCCCTGCGTGTATGCTTGATAAGACCTAGTTA